CACATTTGACACAACTGCACAACTGGGACAACTGGCACGCCTCTGGCACATCTGGCGACATCTGCAACTCACACTGGCACAACTTACACAACTGCCGCCTCTCTGGCACTAGAGGCGCGCCTGCCATAACGGGCACAACCGCCACGACTGGCACATCCGTCACAACTGCACAACTGGGACAACTGGCACGCCTCTGGCACAACTTGCGAAACTTGGTAAGTAGACGGGCACAACTTACACAACTGCCTCCGTTCTGGCACAAGAAGCATAACTGCCATAAGAAGCACAACTGCCACAACTGGCACATCTGGCACAACTGCGCAACTGGGACAACTGGCACGCCTCCGGCACAACTGGCAAAACTGGGTAAGTTCATTGGCACCACTTGCACAATTGCCGCCTATGTGGCACAAGGGGAGCACCTGGCATAACGGTCACAATTGCAACATCTGGCACATCTGGCACAACTGCACAACTGCACATACTGGCCAACTGGCTCCTGCGAGGCCTTCGGTTGAAGTGGCGCAATGCCACGAGCACCTGCGCGTTGTGCTCTGTCGCAGGGAGCCCGAAGGTGTTGCGAAGGGCGTTCCTCGCCTGGGACAACTCCGTGGTTGTCACGGGGTGCTCCGCCATTCGCTGGCGAAGCTCCTCTGCTGTGGGCTGGGCCATTGCCCTCGGCAGGCTCGTGGCCGCAAAGTGTGCGCAGGCTGGCTGGGCGGGCGTGCAATTGTCTCGGACCAAGATCGGCCTGCGCACACCGATAATAGGAAAGACGCCCCCGACGTCGTCGTCGTCGTTGTCGACGCCGCCGCCGCCATCGCCGCCGCCGCCGCCGTCGTCGTCGACGACGACGACGACGACGACGACGGCGGCGGCGACGACGACGGTGGAGGAGGAGGAGGAGGAGGAGGAGGGAGGAGGAGGGAGAGGAGGAGGAGGAGGAGGAGGAGGAGGAGGAGGGCGCCCTGATGCGCTCGAGCGGCCGCGCACCCCAATGGTGGGCACAGGGCCGCCCCTTGCTTGTAGCCGACCGTGGAGGGTGCCTCCTCCTCCTCCTCCTCTCTCTCTCCTCCTCCCTGCTCCTCCCTCCTCCTCCTCCTCCTCCTCCTCCTCCTCCTCCTCCCGAAGCGAGCCGAAGGACCGGCCCCACTGGAAACACGGCATCGACGGCGAGGAGGGGCGCATCCTCGAGACCCACCTCGAGAGGCGGGGCGGCCCGGCTTTTGGGCGCGTCCGCGGCGCGCTCGCGGGGTGCACGCATCAGGGCGGGCTCACATCCGCCGCGGCTCCGGGCACGCCAGCCGCGCCACCGCCTCGGCAGCGCGCCGGGCACCAAGCCGACGACGACGACGACGCCCGCGGCGCCACCGCCTCGGCAGCGCGCCGGGCACCAGGCCGACGACGACGACGCCCGCGGCGGCGACGGGGACAACGACGATGACGACGGCGACGGCGACGACGAAGGCGACCACGGTGACGGCAGCAACGACAGCTACAATGACAGCAACGACGAGGACGACGAGGACGATGACGAGCACGAGGACGAGGACAACGGCGAAAACGACGACGACGAAGAGGACGACGAGGATGACGACGACGCCGCCGACGACGACGACGACGAGGAAGACGACGAGGGGCGACGGCTATGGGCGGAAGCCCTGGAGCATACGGCCGCTCACCGCGCCCCCGACCGACACTTCTGGGCGCCGCCTTGTCCGCGGGCCCCGCTAAGGAGGCACCGAGCCGCAGCGCAGACCCCGAGACCGCGACGCCGACGACGACGACGACGACGACGACGACGACGACGACGACGACGACGACGACGACGAGGAAGAGGAGGAGGAGGAGGAGTCGGAGGAGGAGGAGGAGGAGGAGGGGGAGGAGGAGGAGGAGGAGGAGGAGGAGGACGAGGACGAGGAGGAGGGGGAGGGGGAGGGGGAGGAGGAGGAGGAGGAGGAGGAGGAGGAGGAGGAGGAGGAGGAGGAGGAGGAGGGGGGGGGGACGGGTGGAAGGGGAGGACGTCGACGACGACGACGACGACGACGACGACGACGGCGGCGGCGACGACGACGAGGACAGCGGAGGGGAAGGGGAGGACGAAGGGGACGACGACGACGACGAGGACGAGGAGAACGACGGAAGAGGACGACGAAAAGAGGAGGGGGGGCAGCGAGGGAGGGAAGGACGGCGGCGGAGGAGGACCAGGGCGGCGACCACCGCCCAGCCAGGCCGCAGGGCCTTGCGCCCCCACCGGGAGCCGAGGTGACGACGACGCCGAGGCCGCTCGCGTCCGTGGGGCCACCGCCTCTGGGGCGCGCCGGGCACCGCGGCGACGACGACGACGACGCCCCCAGCGGCAACGGCGACGACGACGACGACGACGGCCCCAAGGCGGCGACGGCGACCACGACGGCGACGGCGACGACGACAACGATGCGGACGACGGCAACGACGGCTACAACGACAGCGACGACGACAACGACGACGACGACGACCAGGACGACGACGACGACGACGACGACGAAGACGACGACGACGACGACGACGACGACGACGACGACGACGACCGCGACACCGACAGCGACGACGACGACAACGACGAAAACGAGGAGGATGACGACGAAGACGACGAAGGGCGACGGCTATGGGCGAAAACCCTGGGGCATTCGGCCGCTCAGCGCGCTCCCGATCGGCACGCGCACGCGCCGCTTGAACCGCGGGCCCCGCGGAAGAGGCACCGAGCCGACGACGACGACGGCGACGACGACGACGGCGATGCCGACGCCGACGGCGACGACGATGCCGACGACTGTGACGACGACGACGACGACGACGACCAAGACGACGACGGCGACGACGACCACCACCAGGACGACGACGGCGACGACGACGACGACGACGACGACGACGGCGACCAGGACGACGGCGACGACGACCAGGACGACGACGGCGACGCCGACGACGACGACGACGACGACGACGACGGCGACGACCAGGACGACGACGACGACGACGGCGACGAGGACAGCGGAGGGGAAGGGGAGGACGAAGGGGACGACGACGAGGGTAGCAGCAACGCTACTACCACTACCACCACTACTATGAACTATTACTACTACTACTACTACTACTACTACTACTACTACTACTACTACTACTACTACTACTACTAC